ACACACCCCCACACACGCACACACACATCAAACATACAGTACCATATAAATGCAGAAAAACATGCACACGCATTCTCACATTAAAGTGATTACAAGAAAGCCTGTTGGCTGCATGTAAAAGCCAACACATTCAATCAGAAGTCTCTCAGCTACCTAATGAGAGGCCTGATTAGAGGTGTCTACACACTTACTCCCACCTTCTCCTGAAAAGCTTTAATTTCTATTAATATCCTGGTGTGAGAAGGAAGTGAAGGTGTCTGCGTCCGACAGCTCCAGGGACAAACCAGCAGATGGATAATTAGAAGTTATATTGCCATGAGTAATTAAATGCTGATCAGAGCAAACACAAGCACACATTCATCCACATGTACAGACGTTTTCTAACCTATACACACACAAGAAATGTTTCTGAGCAGCTGAATCTGCCTTTATCACATTTCAGTATGGCCTATTCATACATTTTCAATGACATCTGCTTAATTTAGTGACTTTCATGACAAATGTGCAGTTATGGGTTATGTTTTTGTATTCTTGAAGTGGTTCGGGGAAGATCTGGCTGAATAATCAGCACAACTTGTTTCCTATTTGTAAATTTGTTTTTGATATAGGTGTATAGTTATTTTGTGATTCCGACTTTGTGCTCTTTATTTTGGCATTGTGTTGATAATATAATTCACATGCTAATGGATATTGAGAATGTGTCTTTCCCTACCGCTATCTTGCTTTCTACAGGTGAAAGTGGGTGACAAAGAGGTTGATGTGATGAAGGGCTTCAGGCTGTATGTGACCACCAAGCTGCCTAACCCGGCTTACACCCCTGAGATCAGTGCACGCACCTCCATCATCGACTTCACAGTCACCATGAGAGGACTAGAGGACCAGCTGCTGGGCAGAGTCATCCTCACTGAAAAACAGGTAGAGTTGCTCTCTACAAAATGCAGGCATTATAGCCACTGTATACATATTTTTACATAAATTGTTTTATGCTCTGCACTATTACGTCATTGTTAATTGAAATTCAGTATGTTTCCTTAGAAAGAAAATATCCTCAGGCTTGATGCAAATTGTTTAGATCTTTATAGTTCCTTGAAAAAACCCTTTAAATACAGGCTCCAAACACCTCCCCTTACCGTGTACCTAATTTCCTCTCTCTAGCAAGCACAAACAGTGTGACAACATAACTGGGAGGTTATTATCACCTTTTGAATGTAAAAAAAACAGCACTCATTACACAGACACAGACAGTGTGAAGAAACAACCACATAACAAAAAAGAGTGTATATATGCACCAATACCAAATACACACACAAAGACAGTCACATGTAAAGTGTCAGGGACTTGATGAAATGTATTATAAATGCACCCAATGATTGTGACGCATTGATTGTGACTGTGAAAAGACTGGTGCTGCTGTAGGAAGGCCATTGTCCATCCAGTAATGGCTGGTCATAAGATGAAGGATTTATGCTAGCTGGGCAAAAGTGGCTTGTTATCTGTGTACTCATGGATTTAATCATAATGGGAGCGGAATCTAAAATGTGCATCTTCACAGTTCATGCAGCATTTACAAGACAAACAATGTGGTCAAAATAATGCATTTGCAGTTATATGAATGAATCATTCAGAGGCTCCCCTCAATAAAATGCTCATGAGCCTTAAAGCCATCAAAGACAAATCCATTAACACACAATGTAAAAAGGCTTTTCAGTCCCTTCATGTTCAGGTCACAGGCTGTTGTCTTGACCATATCAAGCTTACATTTACCATGGGTGAATGAGGTTTTGGATCGCTGGATCGTTGGTTGGATTGTTGTTACAGTCCGTTTAATCCACGGAGTGTCAGACTGACATTCAGGGCAGGGACACTGCATGTTACTGTGGTGTTGCTACCTGAGTACCAAAATATGGTAGTTTCTCTACCCTCACTTTCTTATTACGGTATTAGATTTTAGTATTATTTCCTCAGTATATCAAGAGCAATTAGAGTCATAAAAACCTTCCAGACACTGTGGCTTTTAGGACAGTGTGCTTTTAATCTGCAGTCCCAGCAAAATAATTAATTTAAAAAATATGAGTCAGTGTGACAGTAGTGGTAACTTATGACTGCTTTTACCCGGCTAATAGCAGCATATAAAAGATGGCTGTGTCAGTCAGTCCATCTGGCCATTAATACCCAGACTGCCATGAAATTTGGTCTGGATAATTAGATAAATCCTACATGTACTTTACTTTCATCTTGCCCACTGTCAGGCCAAAATGTCAACTTCCACTATCTCATAATCTAAAAAGCATTTCATTTGCTGATCAAATTCATGCCCCCCAGGAGAAAAACCCTTTTGATTTTAATGATCTGTTAAAATATGTAGCTAGCACCATGCTACAGCTTCATAACCTGTATATGTATGTATGTGGGTGTGTGTGCATGTGTTACCTGTTCTTTTATGACACCAGGAACTGGAGAAGGAGAGAACAGACCTCTTGGAAGATGTGACATCCAACAAGAGAAAGATGAAGGAACTAGAGGACAATCTCCTCTACCGACTGACCAGCACACAGGCAAGGAAATAAATCTACTGTGATATGTCAGAAAACATTTTGAATTGGGCATGTGATAATCATCAGTGCAGATACATTAACAGGATTAGGGGCAACGTTTTTATGTTATATTTTTTAAGTTCTTAAAAAAAAGTTCTTAGCTTATCTGTTTCCTGGTCCTTGCTTTAAAATAGACTGACATTTGCTGGCAAATATGTTCATCTGGAGTTCATTAAAATGTTGGATATTGCATTTGCTTCTAGTAAAGAAAGTTGAAAAATGAGGTCACCCAATGGAAGAATAATAGAAAAACTTACATCTGTCCCAGCCATTTCTCAAATTATGGAATCCATTACCATAGTAATTCCATGGGTTTCTGACTTATTCAGACAAATATGTCTCTTTTTAGGGTTCACTGGTGGATGATGAGAGTCTGATTCTTGTCCTTGGCAACACCAAGCGCACAGCTGAAGAGGTCACTCAGAAACTACAGATTGCTGCGGAGACTGAGATCCAGATCAATGCTGCCAGAGAGGAGTACCGACCTGGTAGGTCACGACAACTGGCTCAAAGACAGAATCTACACCTTAATGTACTCGCTCAGCGTGCCTGCCAAGTTCAGCTTCAATCACACGAAACAGATTAATTTTCAGTTTATAATTCAGCAATGACAAACATAGACACTCTCCAAGAGAAAATTTGCTCACTACACACATCCCTTTAAAACAGATTTAGTTCATCATAAAAAGTCTCTGTGTCAGTCTGTGCAACATATTTCAAAGTAAACAGACATTTTGATCAACCGCCTCATCATCAGATTTTTTTATTTTTCACAAAATAATTATTTATACTCTACAGGCCAATATTTTTACTATAGCATGTGACAGTTTGATTCATGAATAGAGGCCATAAAGACAACAGGTACTTTTTTTCACACTAATGTGTGCTTCAAGAAACACACTTCTTTTCACAATACAATTGTTTGTGTTTGTGTGTGTTTTCAGTGGCCACCAGGGGCAGTATCCTGTACTTCCTGATCACAGAAATGAGTATGGTGAATGTCATGTATCAGACCTCTCTGAGACAGTTCCTGGGACTTTTTGACCTTTCTCTGGCCAGGTGAGATAACTGCATTTGCTACTGTTTGTAATTAATTGGTTTCTTGTTGTGGAGAGTAGACTTTACCCACAATGACTTTTTTTTATATTGAATACACACAAAGTCATACGTGCCGACAGCAAGTGACCCTATGCAATTCCATGTCAGCCTTTGTCTGCTGGCCTGCAAATGTTGCTCTTCTCGTTGTGATTTGTAAAGTCTCAGAGGGGATTTGTTTGGGTTATTGGCATCGTCAGTTAATGCTGCTGGAGCACTTGGTGCACTTTCTAGGCAACTTAATCTGATTAAAATGCAGACATCTGCAATGCTATGTCAGCCTTTCCCAAAATATGGGTTTCCAAGGAGGGCTAAACAATATTACATTTACTTCAACCAGCGCATGTTGTATAATTCAAGTGTCTTAAAGCCAGACAGTTCCAATCTGTGGCCTAAAAACTACCTCATCGTGTTTTCATTATTTTTCTACTTGTTCCACATTTCCATACAGTGACACCAGCAGGAAAGATGTACTGCCATTGGTTGTCAGATATTTTATAATTGTAATTGGAGCGCATTTGAACAGCATGATAACTTTTCAACTTTCATATCATATTTCAATATTGCTCCTCACTTACCTTGTCTTGTAATTGTCTGCAGTACATATGTGAGGTATGTATGTACTAGGATGGAGAGAGTTAATGTTGTCTTGCAGCTGAAAACTAAAAGGAATTATTTTCAGCTTATGTTAAAGGTGGAAGCTACTGAGTCATTGTTGAGACTTCAGGTTGAACTGTAATTTAACTGTGATATTTTGTTTTTGAAATACTGCATTGTTGTTTATATAGTGCAAAAGGTTAAAGTTTCTGAGGCAAACATCAAATACAGGGACAGTCCATTTTAAGCAGCAACCCATTGATTTGCCAGCTCAAATAATTTCTCGTCAAATCATACAACTAAATTTGTCAGCGCTTCTAACTTGCTTAATGGCTAGAAGAAGCTTTTGCATAATTGTTACCAAGCAAAAGTCAATAAACTAAAAACAGATGAGCTGTGATCTCTAGTCTACATTTGAGTTCATATTAAATATAAATTTGAAATTCTACTTTTTACAGGTCCTCCAAAAGTCCAATCACCAGCAAACGCATCGCCAACATCATAGAGTTTATGACCTTTGAGGTGTATAAGTATGCAGCACGCGGCCTGTATGAGGAGCACAAGTTCCTCTTCACTTTGCTGTTGACACTGAAGATTGACATGCAGAGCAACAGGGTCAAACATGAGGAGTTCCTCACACTCATTAAAGGTAAGAAGAAAATGTGAACTGTGAACTGGTGACTGTGTGCTTCACTGTCATCTCCATACCTAGTAAAGTTATTTAAAGCTAAAGTGATCCTGACCCTGAATTTATGAAACCCAAAAGATCCCTCAAATCCTAAAATTTCCCCCAAACGCAATAGTGTGTGAGTTTAAAAACGTCTGAGCTGTGAAAACATTTCTGAATATTAGGATATTAGAAGCTATTAGGCACTGAAACTAGATCAAGTACTGTATATTTCAAATGTCAGTATTATTATTTACACAGTGTTGAGTTGCTGTAAAGTCAGCAGTAATATTCAGAAAAGGAAAAGTTTCCAGGAACGCATGTTTTTGTGTGCCTCTGATCCTTCACCTTTCTTTTTTTTGTCTGTTATGTCTCATCTTCTAAGACTGTTTTGTTGTGTCAGTACCTAGAATGTATAGACAAAGAAAGAAAGTACATACACTGGCATACTAGATAGCTGTCTCCACTGAGACTGAGACATTTAAATCTTAACATAAAAAGAAGAGAAGCGAAATGTACAGCTATGGCTCACCTCAAAACAAACTCCAGGCTCTAAAATTGGACCAAATATATTTTTTGTTTGCTGTTTTTTTCATTATTTACTTGGCGCAGATAGATTTTTTTTAAAGCTCAACTCAAGGTTTACACACATTTTAAACATATTAATATTGTAGCAGTTCACTGAATCAGAGATATGGAATGCTCGTGACCACAGGGATAAAAGCCAGCTATGGCAACTGGCACGGCCATAACAGACAGTCTGCTGCTTGCATGCAGCTTCACCATCTGTCAGCTCTGACCTGCTGAACATGGACTCACAGAATGACTTTTGTGTACATTTCTGGAGGTTGTGTTTGTACACGTTTGAATGTATTTGAATCATTTAACATTCTATATTATTTTTATACACACACATTTTTACTTTAGGTTTTGCTGTTTGTGTGTATGTACACATACACGTTTATTTATTTTGGTGTTTGTGTGTGTGTGTGTGTGTGTGTGTGTGTGTGTGTGTGTGTGTGTGTCTTCCAGGAGGTGCATCTCTGGACCTAAAGGCCTGCCCTCAAAAACCAGCTAAATGGATCCTTGACATGACCTGGCTCAACCTTGTGGAGCTCAGCAAACTGTGGCAGTTCTCTGATATACTGGATCAGGTACAACACACACACACACGCACAACTTGATCAATTTAGGTGTGCCCTGACAGGTGTATGACACCTTTCTTTAGCTGAGAGACTTTTTTTTATCTATTAAGTCTGCAGATAACGGTGCTCATCTGTCATCTGTTTCACTCACTCACACACACACACACAGATTTAGCAGTGGTCTCTGGATGCTTATTAAATATTTTTCACAGTTCTCCTTTGCTCTAGTAAGCATGTCAATATCAGTCTCATCATGTCTCGCTTCATCTCTCCTTTTTACATCAACACACAAACACACACACTCATCACAATTGACTGTCACTCACCCACAAATACACACACCCTTGGGGGTGACTGACAGCTTGGTGGCTTCCATGGGGGGTAGAGCTCAGTGCTGTGTGAAATGAGCTTAGTTTGGAGAAACTTCCAATCAATTACTTTTGGCTAAACATGTGAGCACACACACAAATGTATACGTGTGTGTATCCTTGTATTCCTTCACATACACAAATACACATGTGTATTTTTGTGTTGATGATTAACAGGGAGAGGTGGATTAACAGTTTTTTGTGTAATGAAATCAGTCTGAGGGGAACAAGGCGTGGACAGGATTGTAATGTCAGTCTTTCCCAGAATAGAGAGACAAAACCAACTGAGCCCCCTCTTGACTGTCTTCATACAGGACACAGATGCACCTTATTTCACATATGAAACACACAAACATATTTATTTAGCAGCCTTTAGCACTTTAGCCTTATGGTTTAAGAAGTTCACCCAAACCCTGAGACTGGCTCAAAAAATGTGCATGTCAGACAGGAATGCATAATCGACAACTACTGTTAATGTGCTCTTCAGCAAAAGCACTGAACCCCTTACATTCTTAAGTGGAGCTGCTCAGTGACTAATAGACACAAAGAAGCAGCTCTCAGTTGTGAATGTGTTCGACTATATGAATGAGCTGCAGGTGGTTGCTTCAATGTCCTGAATAAATACTTATAATACAGAGCCATTCACTCTCTTTACATTAAAACTTAAAGCTCAGTAGATATTATGCTCTCTAGAAGGCAAATCATTTTCATCATCATATCACAATCATCTTAGTTTTTTTTTTTTTTTTATAAAGATTTTAGACCTCATTGACACAGCTACATTTCGGTTGAAGAAACCAGATTATTTGTCCATGTATCTGATTTGACTGGGTTTCTAAAAGGGTTTTACATATGCACAGGTACCTGTCAGAGACTTCAGACAGGGAAGGTATAGTCATGACATCAGAAACATTACTCCTAGCGGTGTCCAAAATAACTTTTTAACTAAAATGACATACACACAATACAGAAAAAAAGTGGGCTCTTTCCCTACAAGACTTGTCGTGTCAAATACAAAAAAGAAACACTTACATACATCACATACACACTTAAAATATGCCAGGAATAGAAAAATGTGGTCGAGGGTAAATCTGATTACTGACCAGCATGTTATGCATACCTGTTATACAGTTACTGTGTTATTGTGGTGCATGTACTGTAAACACAATCTCTAATTTCCTGCTTTAACCTGATTTCTCCCACTAACCTGGTTTCCTGTGTGCATGTATACACAGTGATTAACAGGCTCTGTGATGTCACAGTATATTTGCATATGTGCGATCAAGCATTTATATTGCACATGGTGTTGTCATGGATTCAGTACAGTATGACAAGTGTCAATCCAGAACCTTGATAATCATCTGAGTTACGCGATGTGTTACAGGATGTGTGTCAGTCTGTGTTTGCTGTGAAATGATTAGGAGTTTCTTCCGTATTTAAGACATATTATGTATGTCAATGCATTGGCATAGAGGACATTGTTTACATAGTAAAGTATGTGTTTGGTATTTTCACTGTCTTTGTGTTCCTGAATCAGAGCTGTTTACACATTTCTTTCAGATAAGTCGCAACGAGAAACAGTGGAAGTCCTGGTTTGATAAGGAGGCCCCGGAGGAAGAGGTGGTCCCAAACTCCTACGACCAGGCTCTTGACTGTTTTAAACGCCTGCTCCTCATACGCTGCTGGTGTCCCGACAGGACCATTGCGCAGGTTAGAGACAGACCTGTCTATGTGTGTGGTTACAGTGTCTGGATACAAAGACCCGGTGGCTTAAAACCAATTTTTGGTTTTCTAATCAGCTTTTTACAGTACATTTGTTTCCTTTGTTTCCACTTTCGTAATGAACAGTAGGGTAAGTCCAAGCCCCACACTTGCTAGGTTCCATTATAATGCATTTGCAACAGTATGATGCAGTTACAATGATTGAATTACTCTGAAAAGAAATACAGCAGAGTTGCCTAAAGCAGCATATTCATCATTAATTGCTGTGTCAAGGCTGGAAAATAGATGCTGGTTTACTTCAAAAACAAACTTGTATTAATGAGACTGGGTTCAGTAAAACGTAAAACAAAGAAACAAATCTAAAACTAAAAATCTCTTAATCTACAGTAATATCTCCCTCGGCCAAGTCTTTCCTTGAAGGGAAAAGTGGAATGCATTTAGTAAAACATCTCTCTGAAGCTCACTGAGCCTGAATATCTACAATGGGTAATGGCTCACTTCTTACTGATGGGTAGTTTTTTGTTCCACTGCAGACGAGCCTGGGGTGGAATTTATTTAGCTGCACTCCAAAACAGTCCAGCAGTTGTCCTTGTCTGACCTTTGGCAGCAGTCTTTACTGTTGACTGAAAAGAGTAATCTAGTAAAAAAAAAGTGAACTATTCACTCAACCCTCAGCCTTCCAGAAAGTAAATTTATTCCAAATGTTTTCTGTCTTTTCCTCATGTGTTTTAGCATTTTGCATTATGAAGCAGTAAACAAACATGCTTCTCCTCTAGGCCCGTAAATACATAATGGACGCAATGGGGGAGAAGTACACTGAAGGGGTCATTCTTGACTTGGAGAAGATGTGGGAGGAATCAGACCCACGAACACCTCTCATCTGCTTCCTGTCAATGGGCTCAGATCCAACTGACTCCATCATCGCGCTGGGGAAGAGGCTAAAGTTCGAGACCAGATATGTCTCCATGGGACAAGGACAAGAGGTCCACGCCCGCAAGCTTCTGCAGCAGACCATGGCTAATGTGAGTCAGGGGTGTGAGGTTACTGCTATTTTTGCATCATTTGATGAAGCAGCAGACCAGTTTCATGCAATATGTTGAGGTGTCAAGGTGTTCTGTCTCTGAAAAATGTGTTTTTAAAATGTCTTTTAAGCTCTTTGATCACTAACAGACAGACCAACCTATGCAGAGTTAGTTGCTCACAAAGATCTTCTTTTTTTACTACATCATCAATTTTCTGTCCTTGATATGGATGATAACCATTGCTCTTCCTATTTGTCCCCAGGGTGGCTGGGCCTTACTCCAGAACTGCCACCTGGGTCTGGACTTCATGGACGAGCTAATGGACACTGTGACGGAGACAGACTTTGTCCACGACAGCTTCCGCCTTTGGATGACCACAGAGGTCCACAGACACTTCCCCATCACCCTTCTGCAGATGTCAATCAAGTTCACCAACGAACCACCACAGGGCCTCAAGGCGGGGCTTAAGAGGACCTATGGAGGTGTGTCCAGTCTGGTTCAGTTTATAAGTAAAACTAAATTAGTTAAAAGTCCAGAATTTGTAAGCTATCTCTTTACAGAACAATGTGAGAGTGGTGAGACTGTAGTAGTAATATAAATGCACACACTCTTTCCTGTATGAAGACAATATCTGTTTGAAAACGTTGCAAGATATAAACATGGCGGAAATAAAGCAAAAAGTCAACGGACTGATCCTCAGTTTATCATAACACAGAGATCAGATGTGTGTGTCTGTTTGAGTAAGATAGAAGAAATAAGACAATGATGAGCATACAGAATAGGGGTTTTTTTTCATTCTTGATGTGTACACATGTAAACAACCTATTTGGTCACACATACCCACTCACGCACACTCACATCTTCACATCACCTTCAGTAAGTCACATAATCAATAACGAAATGGGTGTGTATATATTGTAGGGTAAAGGCATCACCCAAGTACCAAAAGCCTGTAAGGCTCATGAAATTTTAAACAAGCCTTAAAGAGGGAATGAGATAAGATTATTTAATATGTATAAACCAGCTGTCTCTCCTTGGTTCATATGGAAAAAGGATATGTACGGTTCCTGAAGGGCAATCAAAAGTCTCAGTACACATTTATCTTGTCTCAAGGCCTAGCTGCAATTAAAGATTGCATTTCTTATCAGATTATGAGAAATCACACAAAATTCATGATGATGAAGATTTCCCAAACGTCATTAGTGCTCAGACATAACAAGCCCTTTGAGACATTGCCTGTCAAAGATTTCCTAAAAAAGAGAATTGCAAACTTGCATGAAGTTAAAAGTGTCATACCGGCTGTTAAAGAAAATTGCTAAATCTTTTTTTAAGCAAATTTAAAAAAAACTATTCACTCAGCAAATACAGTGTGTATTAGAATTGTTCCTTCCGATCAAACGTCACCAGCTTAGGGGTATTTTTTAAGTCTTGAATTTATTTATTTTTTATTTTCTCTTTGAAAGTGGTTTCTAGTTTTCTGGTTATTTGTTCCCAATATTTTTATACCTTTCAAGTCTGCCATAGTAGAAGGCTTTGGATTACAGCTCCAAATGTTAAAAAAGCTGATAGAAGCACAATGGTTTTCAATAGATTTTTCTCTTAGCTTCCTGTTGTTCATCCATGTACCCCTCACCAGGTATAAACCAGGACCTTTTGGATGTCAGTAACATGGTGCAGTGGAAGCCAATGCTGTATGGAGTGGCATTTCTCCACAGCACGGTACAGGAGAGGAGAAAGTATGGGCCTCTGGGATGGAACATCCCCTACGAGTTCAACCAGGCCGACTTGAACGCAACTGTCCAGTTTGTTCAAAACCACCTTGATGACATGGACATCAAAAAGGTAGGAGAAGTGACTCAAGTGCTTCGCAAACGACAGCGATCATCTCTTAAGAGCTAACAACAACAACAGTAAGACTCAGTTAAGATAGTTTTGAGAGCAGACTTTCAGGTTGATGATGGTTTAAAATGCTGTGTAACAGGCTTTTACTGGTGCAAGTGTGCAGCAGGTTGTGGTTGTTGTCACACTGTTTCCCTCTAACTCTCCAGTTTCTTATTAAGCAGAAAAATGTGTAGTCTTTAAATGTGTTTATTATAAATGAATCACAGAATGTACTAAATAAGCAAATTTCAATTCAGGAGTTAATTAGTGTTGTTTTCTGATATGAAAGAATTATGAAAGGAAATGTTTGATCAGCAGAAAACTGTCTCATCCAACTATCATGAAGATGCCAAAGAGAAATAATAACCACAACGTTAAAGATGTGCATAACATGAGAACATACAGTCTACCTTTTACATGCTACTTCCTGTCTCTAGCCTGGCATGTTCATTTTCAATTCTTTTTGATGTCCAAGAGGCGTAGTCAATGCACGCAGACCTAAAAAAACGGCGTGATAGCGGATTCAACAGAAACAGTTCATCAGTGGCAGCCATCTTGGTTGTGTACCAAAATAACTGCCAGTAAGGTTGCACTCCTATGTACTGTCATCTTATAAAACCCGCCTCATATTAGATTAGGTTATGATTGGCCTGAGTGTGTCCAGACGCATCTGCCAGAGCAAATAAAACA